AACTTACGAAACTGGCGCTGCAATTTTTTTTATTGAAGCTTGCTTTACTTTACCTCGACCGTTTCTGCCGTCGTGATCCTGTGTCATTCTCTGTTCTTTTAATTCCAATTTCCAATTCTTTAATTGTTCTATTTCTAGGGGCTATGCTCTCTGTACCATACTTTGGTTAGTTTTTTTTTTCTTTTTCATATAAAAGATACATCTGTGCCTTTCTCTTTTTCCCCTTTTCTTTCTAGAATTAAGAAGAAGAGGCAACAATTTAGGAAAAAACAATGATGTTGTGTTGGTAGAGTAAGTAGGGAAAAAGAGGGTCTTTCCTTCCCTCAGCCATGGCTCCTACTGGGAAGCTTTCCGGGTTTCGTCGAGAAGGCAGTGATTGGTACTCTCCTTCTCAAAAAATTTTGTTTTGAAGTAAAAATTCTTTTTTTTTAATGGAATGATGAGGAAATGACTCCTTTTGTTCACCTGATTACTGGGTGGAGTCCAAGTCAGACATGCATATCGAAAAAAAGAAGATTTTGATGTGATTTATGTTGTTAATTTTTTTGGGTTGTGGTCTTGATAGGTTCTGCAATGGGGGACTGCCAAGTGATATCAATGTTTCCATCGAGGGTGTCACTTTCCATCTTCATAAGGTACCTGCTTTCCTTTCAGAAATTTGCACTTCTCTCTCTGGTTTATTGATAGATGAAATAGTTGTGGGGCTTTTTTTGTTGTTCTGGTTTGTTCTACTCCTCTTTGTGTTTTTATTTTTCGAAATTTGATCCAACCGCGTTAATGTGATTCATGGCTTTTGCTTCTACTTCTGGTTTCTTTCATCTCTGTTGTCGAAGCATCAATCTTCAAATAAGGGAATTGGATTAGACTTGCTAGAGATACCGTCCCACATGCTACAATGGCCGCAAAGCTTTCACGGTTTCACCATAAATTTCATCTATTTATTAGAATTTAGTAAAATTCCACCAGTTTGTGGGCAGCCTTGTATTCCTAAACTGGAATCCACTTGAATGGTTCTCAAAGGTTGTGATGTTCTTGCTGGTTTTCTTTGTGGAGTTTGACTTTAAAATTCCTTCAGCTTAAGGTTAGATAGGGCAGGGACAAGACTGCTTTAATTATAAATGGATTGTATTTCAGCTCATTTGGTATTGTTTAAGATGATGGTTATCAAATTTTGCTTCTAAATTATGGATGTTATTCGTGATGTATATCCATTGGTGCAGATATTTCATTACTAATGCTTAACTTTCCCAGTCAGTGATGAAGCTAAAAATTTATCTACTTCTCAGACTCGTTTTACTCTCTTGATTTGCTGTTGTGGAAGTAATTGGATTAGGTGGGGTCTTTGGCATGTCATGAACACTTGTTCTTGTTTCATCTAAATTAGCTTTCTTGGGTAAGAGGAACAAGTTAGAGCTTTGAGATATTTCTGTTTTTCCCTTTTTTCAATTTGGACTCCATGCATGATTACGTGATGAACTAGTGAGCGTTTCTGTTACACAAGGCTTAATTTTATGGTAGTTATACTGTTACGCCTTTGGTAAATTATTTGTGTACTGAGTGCATTGGAGTTTAAATAAGTTATGTCATGGAACTGCAGTTTCCTCTTGTATCAAAAAGTGGAAAATTTGCTAAAGCAAATGACGAGTCCAAGGATACAGACAAGAAGACTCTGAAAATGGTGCTGGAAGAATTTCCTGGTGGTCCTGACACTTTCTTAATTGCAGCTAAATTCTGTTACGGGTACCGTGTGGAACTGACAGCCAGAAATGTAGTATCGGTTCACTGTGCTGCAGAGTACCTTGAAATGACAGATGAATTTGGAGAAGGTAACTTGTTGTCAAAATCAGAGAGTTTTTTCCATAGAAACACATTGCGCAACTGGAAAGATTGTATTTTGGCTCTCCAAAGTTCTGAGTCAGTTCTACCTAGAGCTGAAAAGCTTCAGTTAGTGGGCAAGTGTTTGAATGCTCTGTCTATGATGGTTTGTACGGACCCAAGTTTGTTTGGATGGCCCATGATGATGTATGGGAGTTTTCAGAGCCCTGGTGGAAGCATTCTTTGGAATGGCATCAACACTGGTGCCAGGATTCGGAGCTCAGAATCTGATTGGTGGTTTGAAGACATCTCATATCTCAGTGTGAGTTTATTTGAGAGGCTAATTAAGACAATGCAAGCAAGAGGTATAAGACCTGAAAACCTTGCAGGTGCCATAATGTACTATTCTAGAAAGCACTTGCCGGGTCTTGGTCGGTGGCAGGGTGGTCAAGGTGGCAAGACCAGAACAGTTGCAAGCTTTAGCTTGACGCCAGCCACAGTTGATCAAAGAGTTCTGTTGGAAAGCATTGAGAAACTTCTTCCTGACAAGAAGGGGAAATCTTATTGTCGTTTCCTGCTGGGACTTCTTCGTGTGGCTTTGATATTGAATGTCAGCCAAACCTGCAAGGATTCTTTGGAGAGGAGAATAGGGATGCAATTGGAACTTGCAACTTTGGATAGTCTTCTAATTCCTACCTATTCAGATTCAGATGCATTATATAACACTGAATGTATTGAACAGATAGTCCATTATTTTGTATCTACAGAGTCAAATTTAACTGCCTTTTCTCCTTCATCACATGACCAGCAAACACCAGCATCACCATCAACTGAGTCTTTGAGGAAGGTTTCGAAGTTGATAGATAGCTACATCTCAGAAATTGCTTCAGATGTTAATTTGAAACCGGAAAAGATACACCGGCTTGCAGACGCCCTCCCCGAGTCATCAAGATTATTGCATGATGGGCTTTACAGGGCACTGGACATATATTTCAAGGTTTGATTTTTCTGAGCTACACTTCTACATAAAGACTTATTTGTGGTCATGGATTGTTAGCTTAATGATGACTACTTATGCTATTGTGCAGGCTCATTCTTGGCTCTCTGATAGAGAGAAGGAAGAACTGTGCAACATCATTGACTACCAGAAACTTTCAATCCATGCTTGTGCTCATGCATCTCAAAATGACAGGTTACCCCTCAGAGTTGTTCTTCAAGTGCTGTTCTTTGAACAACTGCATTTGAGAACAGCATTAGCTGGATGCCTTAATGCATTGGATGGTGAGATCGCCACAGCAGCTCCTGTTCCTATAGCCGCCTTAGGCGAAACAGCCGGTGAAATTGTACAAAGAGATGGATGGGTGACTGTTGTGCGTGAAAACCAGGTTTTAAAGGTGGATATGGACAGGATGAGTTCTAGAGTTGGAGAACTTGAAGAAGAGTTCAGCAAAATAAAGCAAGAAATGAAAAGTGTGACCAAATGTCACAGTTCCCGAAGCTCCCCTCGGTTCGTTGCCCGGAAAATTGGGTGTAAGCTCGTTCCTCGGCCTTCAGATGCTCAACCAGAATCCCTGAACCGCACCGGATCCACACCAAGAGCATCCATTGAACGGGCACGGCGTTCCCTTAAGTCCAAGCACTCAGAAAGTTTTACTTGAGTATCAAGAAACCATAATCCCTCTTAATTTTCTATATACATATAGAAGTGTTGTGTGATTTTAAATTTTTTGTACGAGGGAAAGGGAAGGAAAATGTTTCTCAATCCATTATGCCCTTTTATTTCATCAGTTTTCATATTTGAACATTTTCCATTTCTTTCCCTTGTGTTAAAGTTGGCTGTAAACTTGTGTAGGCAATTTCACAAATTGTCCTGTTTGTGGGGAATAGCTCCTGTATTTATTATCCGTATAGATTTATTCTTCATCTGAAGATATTGACAGTGGAAGATGTTGTTTTAGACCCATATGTGAAGAACATTATTGTCATCGAAGAAAGAATCATCCATGTTCTCCCTAGTGCAGATGCAAAGCTGATGCACAAAGGTTGGAAAACTCAAACAAATGTAACAGACAATGTTGTGCTTATAGCAGACCTTCTTTTGTAGATGACAAATGTTGTATAGTTGTGAAAGAGTGTAATTTCTTTACAAAGGACAAAGGCAAATATTTTTATGCTCTGTCACTCATGCTGTTTTTTAATTTCTTTACAAAAGACAAATATTTTTACAAAGCACAAAGAGTTTATGATGTCTTGTAATTCTTGCTTTGATTAAACTTTGATTAATTGAAAATACTCACTATAATAGTATCTCAATATGCAATTATGCACAATTGTAGTTTTAACTGTATGATTTCATATCAAGTACTGTAAAATATACGAAACTAGTGTTTTAATCCTTACATTGGCATTTTAATCCTTGCAAATGCGTATAATAAATACTTTTTATGTTATAAATTAATTAGTTTTTTTTGTGTGTGAAAAATAACATAATTTTATGTAATTTGATAAAATTAATTTATGCAAAAATAATTTACATTTAAAAATGAGTTAACTCATATATACTGTTGTTGCACAAAATATTACTGATTTGGTAACAGTTATTGTTATTTCTTTATACATGTCTAATTTGGTTTGTATACGTGTTTTATGTTTTCAATTTGGTATATGATTAACATTTTTTTAATTTGATTACTCTACACAAATATTATAGAAGAACTAAATTAAAAATACAAATGTAGAAATACTTAAAGTAATAATAACAAAATACTAAAGTGATAAGTTTTGCAAACCGATGTATTAAATCTTCATACGTAGGAACCAAATGAGAAATCGTTACAAAATTTTAATTAAATCATAGTTTACCCACTTAAAAAATATTAGTTATTGTTATAACTAAAAAAATAATATATAGAGATAATAACATATCAGTAACAGTTTTTTAAAATGTAAAATATTAGAATAGAAAATCGGTTTCACCTAATGTGGCAGTGGGTAGTAAAATAGTAAATTATAATATAACTATTCCATAAAGGGTCCAACGGTGTCGCTTTGGCCGAGTGGTTAAGGCGTGTGCCTGCTAAGTACATGGGGTTTCCCCGCGAGAGTTCGAATCTCTCAGGCGACGCTGTTGCAGTTTTAATTTTATTTTCTTTTTTAATTTTTGTTCGAAATTTATTACTATTATATAGAATTGGTGGTTACATTCCACTCCTGAATCCCAGAGTAGAGCTCAACCTGTTGCAATTGCAACCCATTTTTCTGCCTCTTTCTCTGTCACTTTTGTTTCCTGCACAACTCAAAACACAACACTCCTACACAAGTGTTTTGTTACATCACGCGCCGCCACACCAGCATGCCAACCTTCACCATTTCCAGCAACAGCGCCGCCAAATGGTCACTCCCTCAATTCAACTCTCCCCACAATTCCCGCTCATCGCCTATCATTCTCCGCCAATCCCTCCTCCACGTGGGCGCCTTCAGGATCCACTGCGTGCCCCCCGAACCCCTCCTCCCGTTGCCAAAGATCACACACGATCAACCCTCTTTTGGCGGCGGCGGCGGAGGTGATGGTGACGCAGGTGGCGATGGTGGTGGCGGTGACGGAGACAGAGACGGAGACAGAGACGGAGGAGGAGATGAAGAGTTTGGACCCCTTTTGAATTTTGAAGCGGTAATGAGAGAATCGGAAGCACGTGGCGTGAAGCTGCCTCCGGATATGGTGGAGGCCGCCAGGGTCACGGGCATCCGCGAAATGTTTCTTCTTCGTTACTTGGAGTTGCAGGTGGGTTCTCTCTAAAGTTTAAATTTTTGGGTTCAAAAAAGTGTTTTTTCTTCCCTGATTGCTCTCAATTTGCCTTATTATTATTATTATTGCAGAGTTCGTCTTGGCCTCTGTCTTTCCTGATGCAGCATTGTTCCATGCTGAGAAATCGAATGCTCGCGGACCCTTCTTTTCTTTTCAAAGTTGGCACCGAGGTTTGTTTCTCAAAAATTTAAATGTATAACTTTTTCTTTAATTGAGTAGAAAGAAGAATGATAAAAACATTTGGAAGATAGAGACAGGAAATAATAGACTTAATGGTGATAAATAAAAAGAGATAGAACGGAAGTAAGTTGTAAGAGAAGATGCATGTGTAAATATAATAAGGTTATGTTTGAGTATAAGTTAGGAAAATTCTTTTGTCAACTTCAATGCACCATAAGAAGGAAGAAAATGTTTCTTTTAGAATGAAAGAACTTTTAATGTCTTTTCGGGATTATATGTGGTGACCTGATTATCCTTGTTTTGGCGTGTGCAGATTGTTATAGATTCTTGTTGTGCAACGTTTGCAGAGGTTCAAAAAAGGGGCAAGGATTTCTGGGCTGAATTTGAGTTGTATGCTGCTGATCTTCTGGTTGGAGTGGTTGTTGACATTGCATTGGTGGGTATGTTAGCACCCTATGCTCGAATCGGCAAGCCTTCACTGTCAAAAGGTTTACTTGGACAAATTCAACAGGCTTGTTCGGCTCTTCCTAGCAGGTTAGTGTTTGGAAAAAGGATGGAATTTTGGGAATTCATTATTGCTGTTTCAATGTGAGATGTTCATGATTTGTTATAATGCCTGATGGAAATTTTTAGTTGACTTCAAATTGCTATATTGTTATAAGCTTCTCCAATGTTTTCAGAGATCTAGGAATGAGAAATTATGGATGTGATACTAAATTACAATTTCAATGCAGTGTTTTTGAAGCTGAAAGACCGGGATGTAAATTCTCTGTGATGCAGCGCATTGCTACATACTTCTACAAGGTGCTCTGAAAGTTTAAATGTTAAGTAACTATTTGATTTATGGCAGAATATAGCTTATATACAAAACCCAGAAAATAATAGAATCAAACTCTCACTGCATTGAACAATTTAGTATTAGATATGGTGCTATACTGTTATATATATATATATATATTTACTTGGTTTCTGGTATTAGTTTATTCTTTGGAATACCTGACGTTCTGTTTTCAGGGTGCATTGTATGGATGGGTTGGCTTTGGATGTGGTATTATTGGTCAAGGAATTGCAAACACGATCATGAATGCCAAAAGGTATGTCTACCCGAGATGAGTTCTGTCGTATTACTTTATTATAAAAATTCTTATTAACATTACCTCTTTTGGCTAAGTTATTTATAATACATGCTTGACTTTGTTGTTTCTTTAAATAAAGAGAGCAAATGCATATGCACAAATGCATATGCACAAATGCATTTTGTTTCACGAGGGGGTGTCCGTGTCATTTTTGCTTTGATAAATTATGTAACTTTTTTTTATATTTTAAACAGGAGCATTAAGAAATCTGAAGATGACATACCCGTGCCTCCTCTTCTGCAAAGTGCTGCTCTTTGGGGTATGTCTTCTCCTGAATATTTAAATTTTCTTTATTTAGTCTGTTACAATTTTTTGGTTCAGTTTCTTGGGTTGGCTCTGCTCTATTAAGCGTCTGACTCCATTATTCTCAAAAAAGCATTTCATTTCTTGTTTCCTTGCTGCCAAGATGAACATAGACATTTGAGCTTGCTTGTAGCATCATTTTCAACAATGTGGCATTTTCATATTTTTCAACAGTGATTGAAAAGATGATGATGATATGTAATTTGGTTTATTTGTTTTGGTTCTCTTTATCAGGATTCTTCCTTGCCGTGTCATCCAACACCCGTTACCAGATCATCAATGGACTAGAAAGCCTTGTTGAAGCATCTGTGGTGGCAAAGAGGGTCCCTCTTGTTGCAATGGCATTCACTGTGGGTGTAAGATTTGGCAACAACATCTATGGGGGCATGCAGTTCGTAGACTGGGCAAAAAGGAGTGGTGTACAATGACTCTCCACACTCTGCAATTTCACCTTTTTCAAAGTTTTGTCCCAAGTTCACTACAACTGAAAAAAGACTATCAAACCAAGAAGTGAAACTCCCATCATTTTTTCTTTTGCTGGGAATCTTCTTGTCATTAAAATAGGACCATACCCTCTCTTCCTGTTTTTTCTTCTTTACACTTTTTTTCACTTTCATTCTCATCCTATCTTATGTAACTTAGTTGTGTCAGATATGTTAAGGGCAATTCAATTTCTTATAACTAGCAAACTCTTTCCTTTGGGAAAATATAATCAATGTTGGATTGTTTGGGAATTTCATAATTTTACAGAAATTAAAATGTATTGAATTTAAATTATTTTCCAGACAAATTGTTTTATTTTTTAAATGTTTTCTTTGTATATTACAATTTAAAATTACTAAATTTTAATTTTGTTGTTTAGATAGAGTATTTTAATTGCAACAAAATATTAAATTTATTTTAAAGTTAAATGATATTTAACAATTTAAAAATATCAGTACATGATGATTGTTAATCTATGGCAACTGCAAGCATCTATTGTCTTATTTTTATATTTATTTTAATTCAATTTTATTAAGAATATTTTATAATTTTATTACTTGGATTATTTTTTTGTAAATTTTTTAAGATACGTAAAAGATTCTCTTGTAAAAAGTTCTAATCAAAATTTTCTAAGAAATATTAGAAAAATAGTGATTATATTTTGTGTCAAAAATTATTTTGATAATATGTTTTGAAAAATAAATTCCTAATGTTAGCTTAAAAAATTATTTGCCAACATCATTTAAATAAACTGAAAAGAAAATACCAGAATAATAAATCAACATATAGACGAGAGAGTGAAGGGAACATGAAAACAATTGTTTTTTAAATTTGAATTATGTAGTTTCAAAGAATTAAAATAATCTTAAAAAATACAAAAAAAAAATATCTGTAAAAATACTTTATTTTATATTTTCTATTAAAATGAATCATTTTCTAAAAATTCATCCAAACTTTTTGACAATATTTTTATAACTTCATCTTCCAATAAATACTTTTTAAAATTAATTAGGACGGTGATAATTTTATACCACTTCAACATTAGAATAAAATCAATGAGTTTATCAACTAATTGTAATACTTACAAGGAAGGAAGCTTCTATTTTATTGTGGAGGTAAAGAAATTAGTAATATTAAGATAATTTTACTTGTAGCTAGTCTCTTACTGATGATAAATAATTAAGAACGTCAGCTTAAGTAAAATATATTTTTTAAATTAAAATATTTAACTTATTTTGTTAAATTATATCATACTAATTATCTAAGTTTATTAATTCAATCATTTAAATTTTGAAGTAAAATATCCAACTGTATAATTTTTTTTCTATTAATTTTAGCCACAAAATACAATCAGCAATTATTCTCTGACCTACGGGTGATAGTTGATACATTAATGCAATTAATTTTTGTCTGCTAGCAAATAATTACACGCGCAAAAAAATGATGAACTATTATTGTTTAAACATAAAATAGAAAAAGGTCAACAAATAATATAATCTATACATGAAAATTTTAATTGAATTTTTTTATTAAATTAAGGTTTAAATGAAAAAATTATTATTTGAAAGTAGAAAAGTTATATATAACCTTTGCTCCTGCTTATATATACAATAAGCTATCATTTTTGTTTTTTTCTTAATCTGATATTTGTATTTATTACTTTCTCAGTTTGATATTTTCGTGTGTAATTTGATACATTTTTTATGTACTTAAAATATCTTATACATGTAAAATCTAAATTAAAAATGAGTTCACCAATGATAATTGTTCCACTTTTCAAGTTTTCTTACAAATGTATCCTTACCCTTTGTTCTGAAAACCTTTTCATATTAATATGTTAATTATAAATTATGAAGGGTAGTGTCAGTTAAATAACTAATTATTTGAAATGAAAAAGAAATTCAATAATAATGTTTGAAGTTTCTATTTTTATCATTTTATAAATAATTAAACAAATACATATAAATAATATAGATTAAGTCAAGAGATATATTTATATTGGTGAATGATGACCTCTGTCTCTAAATTAAAAATTTATCAATAACAACATAACTTAATAGTTTTTTATACTAATTAAATCATATCTGTCTCTTTTAATGTTACTTGAATCCAAATTATTTGGTGATAATATAAATTCAGAAACACTTCCCAGCACAGAATCAAACTCGTAATATGCCTTTGTATGTTAGCAGAAGAAAATTAAATTAACAATAAGATACGCACTCTGAGGGGGCCACTCCAGCTGTAAACACAATATTGTGAAGTTTGACAGCTGGGAACTTAATTGGGAACTTAATCCAATTTGAATAGTACAATTTTTCAGAGGAAATAAACATTTATATTTTTTTAGTTCAAATATTTTTCACAAATAGATACTTTTAATTGGATCAATAATACTCACTGGGTGTAATAAACTTTTCTCATTATTTTTTTTCTACACCTAATCTTTAACTATAAACTATATATATATATATATATATATATATATATATATTTGCGCACATGTGAGCATACTTTGTAATAGGTCCATGTTTTTTTTAAATTGTTTGACATTAAATAATTTAGAATTAAAATATTATAAATTATAGGTCCATGTTTTTTTTAAAATTAATAAATAGTTAATCTCAATCTTTTCCTCTTTTCCTCACCTTAATTAGTAAAAAAATTTCATCTTTTTTTTTCTCATAATTTCCACTCAAACCTACAAAAATAAACTAAACAATAATTACCATCTCCTCTCTTTTTTTACAATAATAATGTAGTAGATACAAACACATTGTTAATTGAAAACGTCTATTTTAAAACTTTTTAATGCATAGGTAAGGTAATTAAGTAATATCTTATTTTTTAAATAAAATTTAAGTTATTTTATAAAATTAAAAACAAATTCTCAAAATGTTATAATGAATTATATTTTTGGTGCACGTATGAAACGGTTTTTTGCTTTAATTTGACTTGAATTTTGTCCATAGTTTAAAAAAATAATTATTTTGTAGTATACATGTTTGATCACTGATTTTATAATTATTTTTTATTTTAATAATTTTCATAATATTTAATTTTTTAATTATGTTTTTTTTATATTTTATTATTATAAAAAGTGTATAAATAAAAGGTAAAGACCCAAGAGACTTTATATAACGAAAGTGTACCATTTTGTTAACTTATTTTATTGTGGTCTTATAGAAAAGGAAAACCTATAATTGAAATAAAAACAAAAAGAACTTGATTTTATTTTAATGATACACAGCTGAATGCTCCATGAGTAAAATATTGTACAAAAATATCAAAATAGCAAGACATTAAATAAAGTAATGCTGGATTAAAAGACATAATTAAAAGGAATTACACAATGTATTAACTCAATTACTGACCTAGTTGGAATAAGATACCTAGGAAATGTGGTACAGCATATGATTCCAATTTCAATAGTAGGAGGACAAATATGACTTTGGGTTTTTGACCCTTCCCACCTATGATTGACTTACACACTAAAGGCAAAAGAGAGAGAATAAATATCATGATCATGAAGGAGAAAACAAGACAACACATGAAAAAAAAAACTAATTTCTTAAAGGAAATGATGAAATAAAACACTGAACATATGATTTTTTTCTTGTTGAGAAAAAGAAAGAAACAAAAGACAGAACTAAGTTGGTACTGAAAACTTGTTTGGAAACTATGTTAAAAATGAAATAATAGTGTGAATAATTAAATATATAACTATTGATTTTTATTTTAAACTTAAAAAATCACATTTGAAGAGTGAAGTGAGCACACTGCAAAATAGTTGTGAATGATAGTATTATTTTTATAACTATTCAACACAATTATATATGTAAAATTGAAACTCAAATTTCAATTAAATGAAAACAATAAAAAAAATTCAACTCAAAGGTATTTAATAATGTTAAAAACTCTCTGGTCTAACACTTTTTAATAATTTTAATTTGTTTGTTTTTGACAGCTAGAATTAAAATTGATTAAAAACTGTATTTGGGATTGGAATGATAAAAGGTCCTTGAATAGGTTGTGTAACCTACAAACTTGGTCATTTAAAATAGATTTTAATTAATTTAAGAGATATGTTTAGAAAATGTTTTAATAATTGTCATGATTTAATGACAAAGAAAAGTCCAAGGGTAAAAAAAACAGAAAATGATGGAACAGGAAATTGGTAAAATGGTATGAAAATGGAAAATAAAAGGTGGTTCCAGCAGTGTTAGAGGGCTTTTTCAATTTCCTTCAGTCCACCTTCTCTCTCTCTTTCTCTCTCCTTGGAACTGTTTTTTGGCTCTAGATCAACCATAACATACAACTGAATTGTTTCTCCTACTCGGTTTTTCATTTGTGTTTCTGCAATTTGGAGCTGAAGATCAACGACCGTTCAAAATTCGCGTTGGATCGGATCGAATCTGTAACCGAATAGAGTTTGGAGATCTGAAGAGAAGAGAGGGATCTGTGAGCGCCATAGGTGATGGCGATGTCGGGGATGCGAGGGCTCTCCGTTTTCATAAGCGATATTCGCAATTGTCAGAACAAGGAGCAGGAGAGGCTTCGCGTGGACAAGGAACTCGGCAACATACGCACGCGCTTCAAAAATGAGAAGGTTCGCTTAGGGTTTATTTTCTCCTTTCAGCTTTTCTGCTTAGTTCCTGGTGGCTGGTTCTGTTGTCGAGGTTTTGTCTCCCTGACTCAATTGGTGTTATCACTCTGAGGCAGTGGAAACCTAGAAAATTGATATTGATGACCTCTTTAGTAGTGTCGGTATTGGTGTTTAAAATTGATAGAGGGAAATTAGGTAGAAATGAGTTGGACTTGGGTTTGATATGTCTGGACACATGACATTTTTACTGGTTTACTGTTATGTGAAAAACTAAGGTTTTCCTGATAGCTTAGTGGTGGATGAGTATGTGGAAATATTTGCAGTAAGTTGAAATTATAGGGGATATAGAGTGTTCTGTACAGTTAGGCATCCGTTTTTGGTTGAGCTGTTAAGTTATTATGTTCTGTTTTCTTCTAATAATGTCCCTTTGGCTACAACATTGAAGATGACATAGAATGGCAGCTGGTATCGAACTAGCTCATGTGTAGATATTTATGTGCTAGAAGGCCAGATCTTTTCAGTTTGCACAGATTAGTAGATCTAGTACATTGCAAATAGCAT